CCAATCACCTGGAGACAGTGAGTTCTAGTCCCGCCTTAGGCACGAAAAGCAGACTGAGTGGGCCAATCACTCTCTCTCAGCCCAAGCCACCTCACAAGGTTGTTGTTGTGGGGAAAATAGGAGGATGAAAAAGGTATTTGCTATTTTCGACAGTTTGAATTATACACACAGGGTAGTTTTTTGACTTAGGACCAGAGCTGAGTCCCAAATTTGCTAAGCAAGACGTTAAGCGAGTTTAGCCCCATTTTACAACCTCAGTGATTAAGGGAATCCCTGCAGTGTTAAGTGAGTTAACCCGGTTGTTGGCTGGGGAATTCTGGGAGTTGAAGTCCTACCCATCTTAAAGCCACCAAGGTTGAAGAACACTTCCTAAATAATTAGGAAATACGTTTTGTTTTTTCCCCCACATGCTTTGTACGAGATCTTGACAAGCTTGAACACGGGGCGCTCTGTAACAAAATGAAATTCAAGGGTGAAAAAAGTCAGGTTCTACATTTAGGCAAGAAAAAAACAAGTGCCCAGGTACAGTATAGGGTGGTGCCCTGCTCAATAGTAGTCACCGTGAGGGGGATCTCGGAGTCCTAGTGGACGATCACTTAAAGATGAGCCAGCCATGTGCAGCAGCTGCCAAAAAAGCCGACACAGTCCTAGGTTGCCTAAACAGGGATTAGAATCAAGATTGCATGAAGTGTTGGTACCACTTAATAATGCCTTGGTAAGGCCACACTTGGAATCCTGCATTCAGTTTTGATCACCATGATGTAAAAAAAGACGTTGAGACTCTAGAAAGAGTGCAGAGAAGAGCAACAAAGAGGATTTAGGGGACTGGAGGCTAAAACATATGAAAAACGGTTGCTGGAACTGGATATGTCTAGTTTGATGAAAAGAAGGACTAGGGGAGACATGATAGCAGTCTTCCAATATCTAAGGATCTGCCCCCAAAGAAGAGGAAGGAGTCAAGCTATTCTCCAAAGCACCAGAGAAGGCAGGACAAGAAGTAATGGGTGGAAACTAATCAAGGAGAAAAGCAATTTAGAACTAAGGAGAAATTTCCTAACAGTTAGAACAATTAACCGGTGGAACAACTTTGCCTCCAGAAGTTGTGAATGCTCCAATATTGGAAGTTTTTAAAAAGATGTTGGGATAACCATTTGTCTGAAGTGGTGTAGGGTTTCCTGCCTAGGCAGGGGGTTGGACTAGAAGACCTTCTAGGTCCCTTCCAACTCTGTTATTCTATTCTAAGATACTTTGCATGGATAGTGTGAAGTTTACAGGTTGCCTAATTCTGCAACTCCTTAAACGAAGTGAAACTTTTCCTGGGATTCTGCGGCGAGGAGCAACGGCACAATTCTGGGAAGATACACAGCCGTTTAAGAATACAGGGCCAGGGTTTGCCAGATACTCCAAGGCACATTCGAGTCAAAGCACAGCCCCCTCTCTTCCCCCTAATGCTAAAATAGCCCCTGACCCTTGTAATATAGTGAGCCTCACTCCCCTGGGGCTGAGCTAGCAGTCCACCCAGTGACACTTGAATGAAGCTGTCTGTTAGGCTGCAGACAATTTGTCATGCCCTAATTGAGATTATAATTCATTGTCTGAGAGGAGAAAGGATGGGTTTGTCTCTTGGTGAGGTCACCGTTGTTGAATCACCCACTGTCCACTAGCTCAGACATTGTACTAAGCCCAGAATTTGCAAACCACAGGGGTTGAATTCACACATCATACTAAGGCAGGCCCACCCAATCCTCATATATAGCTTGGTATAAAATCAGAGGACAACCATGGTTTAAAAAGACAGAATAACAGAGTTGGAAGGGACCTTGGAGGTCTTCTAGTCCAACCCCCCCTGCTCAGGCAGGACATACTACACCATTTACCCTATCTACCATTTAAGTTTCCTTGATTAGGCTATGGTTTACAGTTAGCTTGCTGCATTGGTAGTTCCTTGATTGTGGTATTGTTTACTTGATTGTTAGTTTAGTGTTAATCTTGGTGTTTATCTCTGCTTACCTGGGGTAGCCTTGGACCAAAATACTTGGACAACCATATTCCTGAAATGGTACGTGGTTTCCTGCTTGAACAGCAAGTTGGACTAGCAGACCTCCAAGGTCCCTTCCGACTCTGCTATTCTGTTTATTTCCTTTGGGGTTTTATATTGTCGCTTTTGAATGGTATGTAGCTGTTGTTCATCTCAATGTGCCTGTTGATGGTCGATTTGACTGAGTGCCAGGAATTCTCTAGCATTTTCTTGGCTTGGTCTAAGATGCTCACAGTCTCCCCACTGAAACTATGGTTATGTCTGTCCGTTTACTCCAAGCTTGGCAGATGGGATTCTGATAATGCCATGGTGGCGCTTAGAGTGGTTAGAGTGCAATAGTGCAGGCTACTTCTGCTGACTGCCAGCTGACTGCAATTTGGCAATTCAAATCTCCCCAGGCTCCAGGTTGACTCCGCCTTCCATCCTTCCGAGGTGGGTAAAATGAGGGCCCCAAATTGTTGGGGGCCAGGTGCTGACACTTTAAACAGCTTAGAGAGGGCTATAAAGCACTGTAAAGCGGTATATAAGTCTAAGTGCTATTCCTGAAAACCCTTTTGTGTCCTAAAGGCAGGATAAGAAGCAATGGATGGAAACTAATGAAGGAGAGAACCAACCTAGAACTAAGGAGGAATTCAACCAGTGGAACAACTTGCCTCCAGAAGTTGTGGGTGCCAACACTGATTTTTATAAGAGATTGGACAACCATTTGTCTGGAATGGTATAGAATCTCCTGACTGAGCAGGGGGTTGGACTAGAAGACCTCCAAGGTCCCTTCTGTTTTGTAGGACTATATATCAAATTTTTAATAGGTTATGGGCCCATGACTAGCAAATAGGTGCAAGATACAGCACCAGAAAGAAGACTGCACCAGGATAAAAGAAAATAGACAATAACACAGCTGCCGCAATGCTTTCATTTGCATATCTGACCACCCAGAATTCTGGTTCTCATGAGTGCAGCTGCAGTTGTTGTATAAAATATATAAAAACTGTATTCCAACACCTTCCAACTCTTGTTATCCTGACTCGTTGTGACTTTTCCTCCGGATGCTCTCATTGCAGCCAGACCTTCAACTCCAACTTTTCTCAATATTGTCGTCCCACCTCAACCCAGAGCATAACCAGCACCGACTCAGGAGATAGCGAAGAAAATTATGTGGCTATGGTAAGTCTTGATGGAAGCTTCTTTCTGTTTCGGGTTTCTTCTCTCCTGCAGGGGTGGGATTCAGCCGGTTTGGACTGGTTCGGGAGAACTGGATGTTAAATTGACATCCGATTCGCCAAACCGGTAGTTGAACCGACCGGCTGGCCCCGCCCACCCGGCCCCTCCCCTCCCAGGAGTCTCCACGTGGCCTGTTTTGGATGCAGGTAAGTGCAGGGGGGCAGACTCTAAGAGGGCGAAAAACGGGCCTCCCGAAAGTTCCGGAAGTCCGGAAACGGGTCTGTTTCTGGCTTCCGGAAGCCCTCTGGAGCCCGGGGGAGGCCGTTTTCCCTCTCCCAGAGGCCCGAGGGAAGCCTCAGGACTCTGGGGAAGGCGAAAAATGGCCCTCCTGGAAGTTCCCATAGGCCACGCCCACCATGGCCACACCCACCCAATCTACTGTGATGGATTGTGGTGAGAAGGTGGACTCCTAGGAGGAAGCGGAGAGGGAAGCGAGGAGGTAGAGGCAACTTATATCAGATATCCTATGTGAGTGAATTCTGGGAATGGAAATCCACAAGTGTTAAAGTTGCCCAGATTGGACATCCTCGCTTTAAGTTTAAAGGTCATCTTCAACTTTTGACCACAACGGAGTCCAAAATTTCGGTTGCTAAGTGAGACCGTTCTTAAGTGAGATTTTACGCCCTTTCTGTAAAGAGAATCACTGATGAGTTGTTAAAAATTAGTAACACGGTCATTAAGTGAATCTGGCTTCCCCCATTGACTTGGTTTGGCAGAAGAAGTTCGACTCCCAGGACGCTGCAAGCGTCATAAATAGGAGTCGGTTGCCAAGCGTCCAAATTCTGATGACGTCTGTGAGGATTCCGCAACGGTCAAAGGTGTAAAAAAACGGTCATAATTCACTTTTATGGACGTTTTTTTGTAATTTTGAATGGTCACTAAATGGAATGGTTGTAAGTTGAAGAGTGCCTGCATTTATTTCCAAAGGCTCTAAAATCTTGTTTCAAAATTTTGACACAGGTCTCAGAGGCCTGAAAACTGAATAAAAGACAAGAAAATTCTTACCGTTGAGATTCTGTGGGCATCTGGAAGTAAACAAGGCAATAGCTTGCATAGAGGCAGTTCTCGACTTACGACCATTTTGTTTGGGTGACTGTTCAAAGTTATTTTCAAAAGTGATTTGTAAGTTACTGAAAAAAAGTGACAAGGGTTTTTTCACCCTTGCAATCACTCCAGCATCCACATGGTCATGAGATTAAAATTTGGATGCTTGGCAATTGGCATGTATTACATATTCATCCCATAATTTTTGTGAACTTTGACAAGCAAGATGTGATGACCCAAAGGGGTGTGGCACAACGGCAACATAGTCAGATAATCAGTAGGAATCCCTTTATTAGCTTCAACTTTGCCCCCAATGTCCTGATTCTCTTCTGGCTGGAGAAAAACTCTCCCAGGAACACCCTTTGGCTGCAGAGAATCAAGTCCAAAACGTGGTCATCACAAACTGTAATTATAAGTCCAATCAACGCAAAATGAGGCAAATCCGGCAGGGCAAGAGAAGAAATTCCAGATGTGAAGGTTGGGAGGATGCCAAGAACACAGATAACCAAAGTCAACACAAGATAAACTCACGTTTGTTCCCAGCAGTGCGGTGTCTGGCACCACACTCAGAATGCATCTCTTTTAAACTCTCTTCCCAGCTGTGGCTAATGAAGGGAATCAGGGCCCTTTCCTCCCCTGTAAGCCATGCAGCCCACATTGCTCCCTTCTCCGTTCCTCCATGCATGCTCTAGGATGAAGAGGGGGTGGGCCTGGGTCTTCCTCTGAACCCCGTCTCCCTTGTCCTACCTCTGCCCAGCCAGACTTCGCCCTTCCCCAGTTTCCTCCACAGCCAACAGAGCCACACTCCTACTCCCTGTCAGCTGTTCGTCTTCCTCCTCAGATTCAGACTCCGACAAGAGCATGACAAAACAGGGGAGCCAGATTCGCTTAACAACCATGTTACTCACTTAACAACTGCAGGGACTCACTTAACAACTGTAGTAAGAACGTTCATAAAACGGGTCGAAATTCAACTGTCTTGTTTACCAATGGTGAACGTTTTGCTCAATTATGGTCGTAAGTCGAGGATTACCTGTATACGAATGCATCTTTTATACTTTTATGAATTTCTACACGGAGGTGCTTTTAGTCTTGGAATTAATGGGGAAGCGACTCTGACCTCTTGCAGAAGCAATTAGGGATCAATCTTTTTATGCAGATTTTGAGCTGATTGTTTGAATGCGTCTTTTGCTGCTGCTTGACCGATTGTTCCTAATTGCTTTAATTTTAGCAAAACCCGGTTTCTGCATCTCCCATTCCAAGTGGGAAAAGCAGCCCGGCCCAAAAGAAGAGCACCACAAGCGTCGATTACCTGGCTTTGGACTTTCAGCCAAGCTCACCTGGGCCCCACCGAAAGGTACGATCTGGATTCTGAAATCTTTTCCGCGATCCCAAGCGCCAAACTGTAGACAAGACCTGTTGACGCGGGACAACAGGGTGACGTGCAGTTGAATGGAAACTCTGCCAGTTTGAGTGACAAACTGAACTGGGGAGCCAGTTTGATCTAACGGTGAAGGCTAGAATCCAGGAAAACCAGGAGACAGTGAGTTCTAGTCCTGTCATAGGCATGGAAGATGATTGGGTGACTTTGGGCCAATCACCAAGTCGGAGTAAGTTCTAGTCCCACCTTAGGCATGAAAACCAACTGGGTGACTTTGGGCCAATCACCAGGAGATGGAGAGTTCTAATCCCGCTTTATGCATGAAAGCCAACTGGGTGACTTTAGGTCAATCACCAGGAGATGGTGAGTTCTAGTCCCGCCTTAGGCATGAAAGGTAGCTGGGTGAGTTTGGGCCAAACACCAGGAGACAGTGAGTTCTAGTCCCACCTTAGGCACGAAAGCTGACTGGGTGAGTTTGGGCCAATCACCAGGATACAGTAAGGCAAGACTAGAACTCACAGTTTCCTGGTGATTAGCCCAAGGTTACGCAGTTGGATTTCATTCCTAAGGCGGGATTAGAACTCACTGTCCCCTGGTTTCTAGGCCATCACCTCAACCACTACACCAAACTAGCTCTATATGTAATTGCTTCTTACCAAAGTGTTTAATGTTTAATTAAAATGTTCATTTCACTGTATCTCCAATAACATAAATTCAGTACGATCATTTCTAAGTTCCTCTTTCTTGTTGAAAAGGAGGTGCTGTGTTGAAGCTATAGAAATTGTTGTTGTTTTTTAATCTCTCCTATTTTTTTATTAGTTAAATAAAAAAATTGAGGGGAGGGGAATCAAAACAAAATCTTTTATTGAGAAGGTTGCACGGTATTTTGATGTTTCGCAGCAGCCTTTTTCAAGCTTGGCAACTTTTAAGACTTGAGGACTTCAATTCCCAGAATTCCCTTAGCCAGCATGTCCGCCTGGGGAATACTGGGAGTTGAAGTCCACGAGCCTTAAAGTCGCCAAGTTTGAAAAACATTGGGTTTACATTGCAAAGGCAAACCATGAAAAATCTGGAAAGTCCTTCCATCTTCTCTCCTCTCTTCTCTCTTTTTTTTTTTTTTGTGGCCAGCCCTCTACGTCGTCCATTGCTTCTGACGAGAAGGTCGATTACGTGCAGGTGGACAAAGAGAAGACGCAGGCTTTACAGAGCACGATGCAGGAATGGACCGACGTCCGGCAGTCTTCGGAACCCAACAAGACAGCGAAGCAGTAGCCAAGCGGAGACATGGTGGAGAAACCATGGAGGCTTTTAGGAATCAAGGAGAGACCGTCCATTTGTCTCTCTGGCTGAACCTTCTCTTGGTCCTTCTGCGGAGGCCGTTCCTGAAAACAAGCTTCTTCAGAAGAACATTTGGCTGAAAACTTGCATCACCCCTCCCAAAGGCATTTTTCAGTGATGAGGTTAGCTGCTGGCTCTGTTCTGAGGAATTAGTGAACCGACACTGGCTTCTCATCCACCTGCCCGTATCCAAACCTTCCTCGATCCACTGTCAACCTGCAGATCTCTATTTTTGCATCCAGCACCTGGGCCCTTTGCCAGTTTCCTGCCGTCGGTTGGAACTTTCAGCCTGGTTTTGGCCTCCTGGTTCTGCCTTTTAGAGATGATGATGATAATAATAATAATAACAATAACAACAATAATAATAGTAATAATAATAATAATAACGGCCAGCTACTCATCCTAAGTGGATTTGATTTTCAAGCAGTCTCTTTACGAAGCTGTCTTAGCTGTATCACTTCACAAAAGGGCGAAGAAATCTCCAAGCGATGCCTTTATTTTCGCTCTTTATGTAAACTGCCAACATGCGAATTTCTTAAACTACGCCGTGGTCCTTGAGAGGACAAGCATGTCAAGAAACAATCGCTGTTCACCGGTATAAATCAGCTTTTGAAATGCATTACTCTCGAACTGAAAATAATTCCTCGTCCGCCATCCTTCCCCCTCAACAAGAAAAAAAAAAATCTTCCTAATTCTCTCTGGGGAATTTTAAGAATGGGACCCTCTCTGGATGTGTTTTGCAATAGTTTCCTCTTTGTGGAATATATGATTATCGGTGTCCGAGATCTTACAATAGTTGAATCTGTGTTGGGCCGTATTTGGTACCTGGTGTGTGGTGTGTAGGAAAGCATTTGATGTTGGACCCTTAGAGCGATGGTTATAAAAGCCTTGATATTTAAAAGCCCATCTACTCTGTGTTTGAAGCTGCATTCGATGCCTGGTTACCTATCTCAAAACACTCCTAATTGGAAGCAAATCTTTATTTTCAAAATAAGAGCAAGGGGACGCCGTGCAAGAGTTTAGCAAGCCAGCGTTCGAGACCCAAGACCTGCTGTGGGATGGGGTTGAGCTCCTGTCTTTCGCTCCAGCTTCTGCCGGGGACATGAAAGGAGACCCCAACTGGGCATCTCCAGGGCAACAGGGATGTCACCGGCTAATCCTTCGAACCCAGAAGCGCCGAGGCGCTTCTGACACGAGTGCAAAAAATAATAATAATAATCAAAATGCATCGTTGAATTTGGAGTGTCCCGGTTTAAAAAGCTGACTGATTCACACAACGCATTAATCCAGGTTCAAGTAAAGGTGTAGCAGGTGCACTTGTGTGTTATGCTAGAACACATTTTGTGTTTGCTTAGATAGGGTTTAGAACTTCTGGTTTAGGACTGAGGTGGAGGACCGTGGCGCCTTCATGATTTGTGGACTTCAACTCCCAGAATTCCTGAGCCGGCTGGCTCAGGAATTCTGGGAGTTGAAGTCCACATGTCATAAAAGGGACATCGTTTCCACCCCACCCCCCACAGCCCAGTTTAGGATATTGTGAATTGGGGTGTTGGGAGGATTGGGCTTCTGGCCCCGTGTGATTTGTGAATTAGATCATGATTGGGTTTGGCTTTCAGAGTGTTGTGTGAATGTCATTATAAGGCAGAGGGAAAGAGACATAGCCCTGAGCAACGGACTTCTATGTTACTATTATTCTGCAATACAGATAGTCCTCGACTTACGGCCGCAACTGAGCCCAAAATTCCCCCTGCTTAACAATACAGTTGTCAAGTGAATTTTGCTCCGTTTCATGACCTACCTTACCACCGCTGTTAAGTGAATCGCTCAGATTGTTAAATTAGTAACCTGATTGTTAAGTGAATCTGGCTTCGCTTGCCAGAAGGTCACAAAAGGAGATCCCATGACCCCGTGACGTTGCGATAGTCATAAATAGGAGCCAGTTGCCAAGCGTCCGAATGTTGATCCCATGAGCATGGGGATGCTGCAGCGGTCGTAAGTGTGAAAATCGGTCATCGGTCACTTTTTTTCCAGTGCTGTTGTAACTTCGAATGGTCCCTAAATGAATTATCGTAACTCGAGGACTGCCTGTATCATCAGCTTATCTTCTCCTAAGATCTTTGTTGCTCTCTGCTAATTCCTCATCCAAGGAAGTTTCCATAAGTTCATTTCTTCAATGCCCTGACTTCGCATCGATCTGTAAGACTCAAATTACTTTGATATTTGCTTACTGGGTAGATTAAGATCTGTTTGGGGGCAACCGAACGCACTCTTATCACTTGTGGCTTGTTAAGCGTTGGAGATCTGTTGGCCATCTCATTTAGACATGCGCTGTAGAGTTTGTTCAAAAGAAAAAAAACAATCCAAAATTTTGCTTTGCTTTATCGATATACACAAGGACAAACCTCAGTTCATAAGCCTACTTCCTGTCTTAGACCTGTATCCATAAGGATGGATGGTCCAATCCTTAAACAACCTGTGCAGGTTTAATCCAAGGTGCTTCCCCTCTTCCCCCCCACAGAAGTGATCTTAGGACTTCCATTCAAATGCCTTTCCTCTCGCGCACCAGCCTGTTTTTCTTTTCCGCCTCTCTCTTTGCAGAGTTCCGAGTTCAGGTTTCTGCTGGTTCACCAATGAAAAATCCTCTGTGCCAGGTTCACACCACCTGCTGAGCTCAACTGTGACTGGCTATTTCCTGCCTCCATGAATAGTTTGGTGAGCATTGCAAGTTCCAACAGGAAGATGAATTCACATAGCCACCATTCAATTAACCACGGTTTGCTGGCTCGCGCAAACCTAGCCTACAGGATGGCCCTGTACTTTGTGACTGTTAAAATAATTCTACCTTGACAAAAGGATGTGTCTTAAAGCCTGCTTAGCTCTCTCTGGTAATTCCACTTAGGCAAAGGGGCAGGGGTGGGATTCTACCGGTTCGGACTGGTTCGGGCAAACTGGTAGTGCCGAAGATCAGCTGTGAGCGAACCATTTTGCTCCAACGATCAGCTGTTGGGCCTGTCCGCCTGCCCTGGCTCTAGTCTGTGCTTTATTTCCGGGTTTTCCAGCTTAGCTGATTTGCTGCGCATCGGCTGTTTTACACACACCCTTACAGCAGAAGGTGAGTTGGAAGCAAGCATACGTGAAAAACGTACGTTTAGCACGCACGAGTGCAAAGCATGCACTCACCAAACCGGTTGTTACACCGGTTGAATCCCACCCCTGCAAAAAGGCAGTTTTCCTCTACTATGGCATCACCTGATTCAGCTTTTTAAAACGTAAGATTTTTGCAGAGTTAAAACAGGACATCTTGAGTTTTGGCATTTGATTTCCAATAACAGATAATAAAATGTGTCTCTTGTCCGGAAAGATTCTAGGAAGGAATAGAGGCGATTTCTCTTTTGGGATCCACCCTTTAAATCAGATTTCAAATTTCCTGACCTTGCTGATTTCCAAGTAGAGGGATTCCTCGCGTTACGGCCACAGTAGAGCCCAAAATTTCTGTGGCTATGCGAAACATTTGCTAAGCGAGTCCGACCCATTTTACAACTTTTCACCGGCGTTAAGCGAATCGTTGCATTTTGTTAAGTTAGTCACACACGGTTTTTAAACGAATCTGGCTTCCCCATTGGCTTTGCTTGTCAGGAGGTCACATAAGGAGGTGACGTGAAACCCACACCCCGGGACGCTGCAACCATCATAAATATGAGCCACTGGCTCAAGTGTTTGAATTTTGATCACATGACCATGGCTGCAACAGTCGTAAGTGTGAAACACGGTCATAACTCACATTTTCCAGTGCTATTGTAAGTTTGAGCAGTCACTAAATAAAACTATTATAAATCAAGGATTAGTTGTAGAAGGTCAGGCTGATTCTGGGAGTTGAAGTCCACAAATCTTAAAGGAGCCAAGGTTAGAAAGCCCTGTACATGGTTACTTACTAAAGGTTCAATCTTTCCTCTGAGTTACCCTTACCCTAACCAGAGATTCTTAAACATTGTGGTGTACTTACATGTATGGTATTCAGCTTTGTTCGGGTATTTTCCCACGTCATTGTAGTTGTGCTTTTAAAGTTGTAGCAACGTTTCGGCAGAATCTCATCTGCCATCATCAGGCTTCTGTATTGTGTTCGTCTGTGAGTCAGACTTTTACAGTGGTTTCAGTTTTAAATTTGGGGCTAGCCTACTGCTGTGCCAGAATGGTTTTTTATTCATCCTGATTGGTTGGGAGTCTTGGTCTGTGTTTATTGGCATTTGGCACAGCAGTAGGCTAGCCCCAAATTTAAAACTGAAACCACTGTAAAAGTCTGACTCACAGACAAACACAATACAGAAGCCTGATGATGGCAGATGAGATTCTGCCGAAACGTTGCTACAACTTTAAAAGCACAACTACAATGACATGGGAAAATACCCGAACAAAGCTGAATACCATACATACATACATACATACATACATACATACATACATACATAGCCACCCAAAAAAGGCACCAGGTCTTATTTTGGGGGGATGTCATCCACTGATTAACCTCACTTGCGCGCGTCGCTCCTGGCCTCCTTTTTGCTGTCAGAGGCCTTCAGGAACTTCTTCTTCAGTGGCTGGCAAAGCTTTCCTGAAGGCCTCTGCAGCCAGTAACAGAGCTCTGGATCGATCCAAAGCTTTGTTCTCACTCCAGAGGCCTTCAGGAAAGCCTTGCCAGCCTTGCCGGCTGCAGAAGAAATGGGCCTGTGAGGCAGGTGTCGGGGTGTGTGAGGCCTGGCTACAACTGTCCGAAGATAAGTAGTAGGACAGCTCCACCACCACCCTATCCCCACCCTTGCTTAATTTTTACCCGTCCACTCTGGAGGGGGCGGGATCTTAATTAGAGCCTATATTGTAAAATGTGTAAAAATCAAGCTAGGACTTACTTTCGGGGTAGGTCGTATTTTCGGGGAAACGGTATATAAAATAAATGATTTGACTGGGGTTAGGGTTGGGCAAGAAAGAAATAGTCCAATTTTAATCATTAGGTATTATGATGCCAAATAGAACAAGCAGAGGCATTTAAAGTCCAGCTTGACTGCTGACAACCTCACGGACACATTCATTTCCTAGTGGTGCCTCATTTGGCTTAGCTTCTGACCCCCCACATAAAATCAACACTGCCTTCTCCGGGACGCTGATAGAAAGGTACAACTACGTAAAACACAGGTAATCCTTTACTCACGGTCACAAGTGAGCCCAGAATTTCCATCGCTAAGCAAAAGAGTAGTTGCATGAGTTCTGTCCCCTTCTACAACCATTCTTGCCACCATCGTTAAAGTGAATCCCTGCAATGGTGAAGCTAGTCACACGGTCCTTAAGCGAATCCTGGCTGCCCCAAGGATTTGGCTTGTCAGAAGGTCGTAAAAAGGGGATCGCATGACACCCTCTCCCCGGGACACTGCAACTGTCATAAATATGAGTCAGTTGCCAAGCGTCACGTGACCCTGGGGGCGATGCAAGTCATAAATGTGAAAAATGGTGATGTCGCTTTTTTTTCCAGTGACGTCGTTAACTGCTTTTAATTTTATTTTTCCCGCCAGTAATCAGAACTGGGTCGTAAGTATCTTTGGAAGGGGTCCATCATAACTTTGAGGACAATGAACCAGTGAAACAACTTTCCTCCAGAAATCATGGGTGCTCCCATCACTGGAGGTTTTTAAGAAGAGAATAGACAGTCGCGTGTCAGAAATCGTATAGGTCAGTGGTGGCTAATCTTTTTTTGGACTCCTGTGCCCAAAATTGTGCGTGCACTTGTACGCTCACGCTCGCGTGCCAGCACTCAGAAGGCAACGCGCGCCCCCCCCCCATGCCCCCCCCCATCCCCCCCCACCCCACCCCACCCACCCCCTGCCACCCCCTAACCTGCACTGCGCCACACAGCTGATTTTCAGCCAGTTTGAGGCCTTTTTCGGCCTCCCAGTGGCTTGAGGAAGGCTTCTGCAGGCTTTTCAGGATGAAAACTAGGCCCGTTTCGTCACTTCCGGTATTTCTGGAAAAACAGGAAGTGATGAAACGGGGCTAGTTTTCGGCCTGCAAAGGCTGCAGAATCCTGCAGAAGTCTTCCTCAAGCCTCTGGGAGTCCGAACAAGGGTTCAAACAGGCCGAAAATCAGCTGTGAGGCGCAGGCATGTGCAGTGAAATTAAGTTTGCCTGCAGCTCGCGTGCCGACACAAAGGGCTCTGCATGCCACCTGTGGCACGTGTGCCATAGGTTCACCATCACGGGTATAGGTTCTCCTGCTTGAGCAGCGGGTTGGACTAGAAGACCTCCAAGGTCCCTTCCAGCTTTATTCTATTCTACTCTCTAAGCAACTGGTCATAAGTGTAGGACTACCCTCCAACGATGGGCACTTCTCATTCTGAAGTTTGCAGTTCTTGCAACCTCTCTTCCAATATTTGAGGGGCAACCACAGAGAAGGAAGATCAACCTATCTGCAAAACATCCCTGGGCAGGACAAAAAAATAAAGGGGGGAAGATCATTAAAGAAAGAAGCAACCTAGAACTAAGGAGAAAATTTCCTAACAGTGGGAACAATTCATCAGTGGGACAACTTTCCTTCTGAAGTTTTGGGTGCTCCATCACTGGAGGTTTTTAAGAAGATTTTGGACAACCGTTTGACCAAGCTGGCATATATAAGGTCTTCTGCCTTGGATTAGAAGAGGGGTGCGTGAACTTCAACTCCCATAATCCCTCAGCCAGCATGGGACGCAACTGACGCATGGTACCTGGGGAATTATAGGAGTTGAAGTCCACACATCTTAAAAGTGGTCGAAATGGGTGTAGAACAAGTAAGAGATACTCCTAATAGGATGGTTGGGCCCATCTTGAGGAAATTATCTTTTAAAAAAAACACAGCTGGAGGGGGGCCATTCAAAAACATCTAACTGTCCCACTTCCATGTTACTTTGTCACCCTTGGGTCACATTAAGGCGAGAGGACTTCTCCACCACAATTGGCCAGAGTAGATAACGTTTCCCATCATTCTTCATAATCTGCTATCTCTTGACCCGTGAAGACAGCAGATCAAAGAGTTTCATGGCTGCCCTTTTCATCCCAGCCCAGAAATGCAAAAGTTTGAGGTGTAGGTGCCTACATAGGGCCAGAGAAGATGATAGGATGCCCCAACTGAATAGGGGGTAACGTATTTGGGGGGATGAAACGTCTGCAAGAAAACCACCAAGCTCTGAGAACAACAAGGTACCCTTCTCGGTTGAGTGTTTTTTGGGAGGCTCCATTAGCTTAGCACCCACAGCAAAACCTGCTGTCAGGATTCTGGCACTTAACCCCATTTAAATCAGGAGTCTCGAGCCAAACTTCCAAAACTTCAAAAGGATTTATTGGGAGTTAACATATCCAGTGTTGCCTGGGTGCAGCCGACTCTAAGACACATAATTCACTGTCACCCTTGACCCTGGTTTTCCCTCCACCCCTCTGGGTGTATCGTAATTCATATTCTCCAATGGGACACCTCCATAGCCAAGAGTCATCAATCAGGCTCTCCAGTTAGAATTTTGCGCGGGCAGAAACTTCAGTCACCTAGTTACTATCTTTGAAAACATTCATGGAATGCACTTTCGATTTCCAAGCTGCCGTACTGCCCCCCCCCCTCCCTTTCTGTTGGCAACTCTAAAAGATCATAGAAATATTTTATGACCTACCCAATTAGAAGACCTTCTGAAGGGCCACCTTTTCCTGACCATCATGGGCATCAGAGGACCAGATTACAGTTTTTAACTTTACTTTATGGTCGTTGCACCTCATACAACAAAATTAAATGGCATCTTCAGTATACATTATACATAAGAAAAAACTATAAAAATAAAACAAAAGCACACATCCTTCACA